TTCCAGCAGGCGTCTGGAGGCGGGGGGGGGGGGGAGGGGGGGGGGGGATTGGCCGCTCGTCGCAGCGCTGCGGCAGGCGCAGGCGCATGGGCACACCATCGTGCCGGGCGTACCTTCGACCGAGGCAGAGTCGAGGTCTGGTAGGCCTCGTCGAAGATGGTGATCTTGCTGCCACCCTCCTCGATCTGCTTGACGGTGGCCAGGGTGTATGCCTGGGTAGGGTGGGCAACCCACACCCGGTCGCCGCGCTGGAGCTGGACCTGATCGTGGTCCTTGGCCAGGTTGATGCCGGGCTGCTCTTCCGGCTGGGGCTGGCGGAAGCGCGGCGACCGGGGAGACCGCGGGCCGGTGCCGGAGCTGAGGGCTCCGACACGCGAATTGACCGTCAGGTTCATGGGGCGCTTGCTGGCGGCGCCGGGGGCGCCGGAGACGCCGGCCGCACCGAGGGACGCCATGGGGAACGGCGCGGTGGGGGGGGGGGGGGGGGGGGGGGGGGGGGGGGGGGGGGGGGCGGGGGGGGGGGGGGGGGGGGGGGGGGGGGGGGGGGGGGGGGGGGGGGGGGGGGGAGGGGGGGCGAGGGCAGGTAGCAGGGAGGGGAGGCGGTGCTGCTGCCGGACACTGTGTAGCTGGCAAGAGCAACGGAGGAGCGCAGGGAGGGACCGAGACCGGTTGGAGGGAAGGTTGGCGGAGGCGGGTGCTTCGGATGGGAAAAAGTGACCTCGAGAGGCATGTGTCGGTGCCAAGGGCAAGCCTCGGCGCCTGGTGCCAGGGTGTCTCATGTCTCTTGGCCCGGTCCGCCGGGGGGTGTGCCTCGGTGGCCTACCTGCGCCGGGCCGCCTTCTTCGCGCCCTGCCCCCGCGTCACCACCACCACGGCCGCCGCCACGACCACGGCCACCTCCGGCCTTGCCCCTCGCCCCGCCTATGCAGGGCGCCGCCGCCGCCGCCAACTCGAGCCGGCTCGGTCACCGGCGGAGGGGCACACCACAAGGGGACAGACCGGCGGCCAGTGCCTCGACCGCACATACGAGATGGCACGATCGAGGGTGTGGGGGCAAGGGGGGCCCGGGCGAATGGGCAGGCATGCGTGCCTGGCTGTTGCCCGTCGAGAAGCCCCGCCGAGTGGGCGGTGCCTGGGGGGGGGATGGTGCGAGGACCGGCTCCGGCCCGAGGAGCGACCCACGAAAACGGCCGCTCCCCCCGCAGAGGGGCGAGAGGGTGGGCCCAGGGCCCCGGCGAAAACGACCCGGCCGGGCGGGATGAGGCAGCGGGAGCCCCACCCTCTCTTCCATCGGGGGGGGGGGGGGGGGGGGGGGGGGGCCCACGTTGTGCATCGCCAGCCCGGCACACGCGCTCTCGCGCGGGCGCGCGCACCCCCCCCCCCCCCCTCGGCCGCACCTTCGCCGCTTGCTGCTCGCCCGTGTGCGGGCTATGGCCCCGGGGTGAGGGCTCGATCGGTTGTCGGGTTGGGACAGGGCACGCTTTCGGGATGGCTGCCGGGGCGACGTGGCTGCCCCGAAGGGCGGGCGCAAAAGGGGGCGCCGAAAAGAAGATCGGCGCGGCTATGGAATTCAAAGAGAACATCAGCACACCCATGTTGCCAGGTAATCAGCGCCAGAAGACCGGGCGCACCTCGGTGACTGGAGAGACCAGTGTCCGGGAGCCGCTGGCCGGCGGCGGAAATGAGGGTCGAAATTCCCGGCCCCCGGCGTGCGGCCCCGAGGCGATCAGCTTGGCGTCGCCCCCGAGCCGCCCCGGGGCCTCGAGGATGATCGGCGCATCGATGGTCGGCCGGCGTGGGCGGGGGCGTACGGCCCCGCCCGCGCCGACAAGCAGGAATGTGCGCCCTCGTCAAGTGCGCACATTGATGCTCCCCCGGCACCCGGTCGCCAGTCCACCGCCGGGGGGTTGCTCCCCTCGGCCCGGCTCGCTACGGGCTCCTGTCCCTGCCCCCCGGGGGGTGGCTGGAATGCTTGCCAGATATTATGTGTGCCGGTATGTCAAGCCGACACCCGGAGGAGGTGGAGGAGGGGCGGGGGGTCCATGCTCCTTCCCCCCCCCCCCCCACAGACGCACACACACATACACACACACGCCCCCTCCCCCGGGTCCTCCTCCGAGCCCCCGGCCGGGGGAGGACGCCAGGCCGTGGAGAAGGCACTGCAGCCCGGGACCCCCGGGCCGGCAAGAGCATCCTGGCTGCAGGCATAAGCCGGGCGGGGACCGCGCTGCTGACGCCCGCGGCCACCACGCGCCCCGGCGCCGCATGCCGCGGACGTGCCTGGGGGCACGGCCCGGGCGACTGGCCCGCCCGCACACGGCCCTCCCTCGGGGCGTGCCTTCCCGGCACTTCGCCAGGTTGCCCGGGGGCGGGGCGCCCCTCGCGGCCCTTTTCGCGCGGCCGCCCGCGGGCTCGCACGCACAACAGCCTCCTGACAGTGCGCACTGGGATGCCGGCTCCCAGGGCGCAGGGGCTCCCCCCCCCCCCCCGCCCCCCTCCATTCTCCCCGGCCGCCCCGGTGATGCACCGGCACATTCCCCGGCCAGAAGGCGTGTCTTTGTCCGGGGGGGGGGAGGACGTGTTCGCGCGCGCGCGGCCGTTGATGTACCGGCGGCGGGCCCGAATGCGCCCGTTTCATCGAGCGGCAGGGGGGGCGCACAGGGGGGCCGGCGCACCTACTGTGCCGCGCGTCTGCCCCCTGCGGATGCACGCATGCCCGCATAACCCACACACACACATGCGCACAGACGCCGACACACACCGTCTTACAGGCCGCTGGCCCCTCCTGAAACAATCGGGCCGCCACGACCGCGACCGGCAAGGGTGCCAGCGCGCCAGCCCGCCAAGTTGGCACCTCATGCGCCAGGGGCACGGCCGGCTTGTCGCCCACCCGTCCTGGTCGCCCATTTGAGCAGCCACTCGCCAATCCCCCCCCCCCCCCCCCCCCCCCCCCCCCTGCCTCCGCCCCCACCCGGCCGCTTCTCCCTCGCCCACGCTCTCCCGCTGTCGTAGGCGCGCGACTTTCAGCCGGTTCTCGCACCGGCGAACGAGCGGCCCGACCGCATGGGCCCGGTCGGGAGGTTTCGGGCCAGCTCTCGCGCCGGGGTGTGGACCCCCGGCAAATCGTGTTCGGCTGCGCGGGCGCGGGCGGGGGGCGGGGGGATGGCGCCGTTGGTGGGGACGCCAATGCCTGGCCAGGCACCAGGGCGACAGCCACCGCGCGGCCCCCTCGGGCCGGGGCGCGACACACACATACACACACACACGCACACGCACACGCACGTCTACAGACACCGCACGGCGCGCGCGCGCACGCCCACATCCCGGCTGGGTCCAAAGCAGGGCAGGGCGCACATTCAGCACCGCGGGGGGTGGGGGCACCATTCCAGGGACCAGGCAGACGCATGCTTGTAGGGCCGGGAAAATGCCAAGGCGCGAGCCGAGGTGGGTTAAGCACGGCGCCCGCCCGGCCGCCGGCCATCGCCAAGCGAGTTACGCACGCGGTTCGCATCCCGTGGCACGTGGCGCGGTGTGATCTGTCATTCTCGCCGGCGCCTGACCCACAATCCCGGCCGATCCCGGCCCCGGCCCCGGCCCGAAGGTGTCCGATTGGCCGCCGCATCGGCCGGAAGTTAATGGCGCGACCGGGTGCTGGCAGCTGCGCAGGGCCGCGCGTCGGCGCGCGCACACGCGTGCTGCCGGGCGCCTGTTGCCGCCCAGGCGCATGTCGCCCACTATCAGGCCCTCGACCCAAGGCGGGTGCCCTCTGCCCGTGGTACACCCCGCATGCAGCCGGTCGCCATGGCATGTGCCCGCCGATGGGCACCGCCCAGATGAGGGTCCGGGCGGAGGGAAGGGGAAAACGCCCCCTCCTCCGGCCGCTGAACTGCCGCCAGCCACGGACACCACCCTGCCTTTCCACACCTCGCCCCGCTGCCTGCCCGCTGCCTGCCCTGTCTACGAGTGGCTGCTCCTCCCTCGGTTTGCTCGCCAAGACGCCTGGCCTGGCAGTCCCTCCCTCGCCCCCTGGCCTCTCTCTCTCTCTCTCTCTCTCTTTCCCCTCGCCCGCCCACATCCGCTTGCCGCCGTCATGTTCGTCCACAGTCCCGGCTTCACGCCTCGGGGCCGGCGACGGCCGCCCGGCTCGCCGGTGGCCGCCCTCACCCGCCTCCTGCCTGCCATGGCTTTGGCCCTGGTGACCTTCAGCTGCCTGATCGTGTGCCTCGTGCAGTTCAGCCGGAATCGCCTTCGCGCCGACCAGGCCCAGGCCTTCCTCCAAGGTGAAGCCGTGCTGGTGATGCGCACCGCGCAGGCGGCCCCCACCGGCAGCCAGTCCTGGATCCGCGCCGATCAGGTGGCCAGCCTCGGCAGCTTGCAGGAATGGGCACTCATCGGCCCGGCCGGCATGACCGACCAGCGACTTGTCACCACCGACCAGCGCCTGGCCCACATCCTCGGCCGGCGGGGAGTGGACGATGCGCATGCCGCCGCCGCCGCCGCCGCCGCCGCCGCCGCCGCCGGTGGTCCTGCCAAGTCGCCGGCCGGGGCGCTGGGCGCCGACCCTGACGACCCGGCGCGGGTCCCATCGGCCCCGACGGCCCCCCAGCTGACGCTCTCCGTGGCCCTGGTCCTCGGCATGGGCGCCTGGCTGGCGACCGAGGTCCGCCACGCCCTGGCCACGGTGCCCCTGTCGGCCGGGGAATTGGCCCGGCTTCGGACCCCGCCGGGGCTGGCTGGCCTGCGCGCCGGTGCCTTCTTCGCGGCCGCGGTGCTGGCATTCTTCGCGGCGGACGGGCCGCTGGCCTGGCGGGCCGCCACCGCCGGCAGCCGTGCCTTTGATGGGGACTACTTCTTCTTCGTGTGCGGCGCGGTGGCCGTGGCCGCCCTGCTGACCATTCGCGCGGTCCAGCCCGGCCGCATGCCACTGGCCCCGGCCGAGGTGCGCGCCCTCCAGCAGGCGGCCGATGGCCCGGCATACGGCGATGCCGACCCAGATGGCAGCCTGGCCACCCCGCACAAGCGCAGCCCCCCGCTCACGGCCCCCGCCGAGTCGGTGCCCCTGTCGGCGGTCCCGGCTCTGGGCCAGGCCGGCGTGGTGGTCAGCATCCCGGAGGCCCGCGCCGCGGCGGCCGCCGCCGCGCTTTCCACCTCCAGCGCCGTCAGCCCCAACCCGCAACCGGGCCCGGGGAATTCGCCGATCGTCCGGGCCCTGTCCCCGACGCCGGGCGAGCACCAGGCCGGGGGCTCGACACCGGCCCTCCTGGCCCCGGAATGGTTCAGCATCCTGGGACGCGACCAGTCGGACGAGTGGAAGGGCGCCATGCAGCTGGTCTTCGTGCTGTACCACTTCTTCAATGCGCGCGAGGCATACAACCTGGTCCGCGTCTTCATCGCCGCCTACATCTGGCTCACCGGCTTCGGAAATGCCATCTACTTCACCAAGACCGGGGACTTCAGCGCCCGGCGCGTGGTGCGCATGCTCCTGCGCTTGAACATGCTGGCCGTGGCCAGCTGCTTGGCCCTCTCCCGGCCGTACATGCTGTACTATGTGTGCCCCTTGCACACGTTCTACTTCCTGCTGGTCCTCGGGACATATGGCATCCGGCCCGGGTGGAACCGCTCCCCGGCGCGTGTCCTCCTGAAGATTGCCCTCGCCGGTGTCGTGCAGTTTGCCCTCTTCGACTTGCCCTTCGCCGGCCGGGGCTGGGCCGGCGCCGGGCTCTTCACCCTCCTCAGCGCCCCCTTCAGCTCGATCCTCTCCATCCAGGGATCCCTGCATGAGTGGCGCTTCCGGGCCGGGCTCGATCGATATGTCATCCTGGCCGGCATGCTGACGGCCCTGGCCCTGCCGGCCGCCGAGCGGGCCCTGGCCCGGCTGGAGCTCGGCCCGGCCGGCCGCCGCTACCGCGTCAAGGGGCTCATTGCGGCCCTGGCCCTGGCCGGGCTGGTGTGGTGGTTCACCAGCCTCATGTACATGGACAAGTTTGCCTACAACCGGCTGCACCCCTTCACCAGCGTCATCCCCATCACCTGCTACCTGGTCCTGCGCAACCTCAGCCGGCGGCTCCGGGCCAAGGTACGCGCCAGCCATGGCCACCCCCGGCGATGGGCGAGGAAGCGAGAGAGCGAGAAGAAGGCCGAAAAGGAGGACACCTCACGCGCAGTACTGACCCCACATCACCGCCGGCTGGCCCCCCCCCCCCCCCCCCGCCCCCCTTCGGCGCACGTGTCGCGCCAGTCCATCGCCCTCTTCATGTGGAGCGGGCGCATCTCCCTCGAAACATATGTCACCCAGTTCCACCTCTGGCTGACGGATGACGCCCGGTCGCGGCTGCTGGGGCTCCTGTGGCCGGGGGCCTGGGGCCACGCCGCTGCCAGCGGCCTGGCCGCCACCATGACCCTGACCAACTTCCTGTTCGACTCGATCATCTTCCTGGCCGTGTCTTACTATCTGGCCGAGGCCAGCGGGACCCTGTGCGAAATGCTTGTCCCCAGTCCGCCGCGTCCCGGCCCCGGCAAGGCCCTCCTGCCAGGCGGCATGGTGGCCTCCCCGGGCTCCGGCGGGGCCAAGGGGCCCGGGCCAGGCGGCCGGCTGGAGCCCTGGGTCCGGCGCATCCTCGCCGGGGTCGGCCTCTTTGGGGCCGTGTGGCTGGCCATCCTGCTGATCGCCCCGCAAACCAGCTCCTGGGCCGAGGTGACCGCCGCCTACCGGTGAAGGGGGCGCGAGGGGGCACCCGGCGCAGAGGCGCGACCCATGGAAGACACCACACCGAGGCACTGGGCCTTGTCTATTGTGTGCTGGCGTCGCCCCACAAAAGAGCAGGGGCGGCGTGTGCCCGGCACAAGGGAATACACCCGAGAGGGAAGAGAATGAGAAGTGGCCGAAGCCGAGAAGGGGGGCAAAAGATCCCCCCCCCCCCCCCCACACACACACACACACAGGAAGAAGAGGGGCGGAGCGGGAGGCCCGGCAGCGGGGGGGGGGGGGGGGGCGGAGGTGAGGCAAAGGGACCTCACCACTCGGTCGGGAAGTAATCCTTCATGAAGAGGCCATGATAGAGCTTCCCCCGGGAGACCCCGTCGAACACCGGGTCCAGGATGCGCGCCATGGCGTCGACCTCGTCGATCGGCGTCTGGAAGTACTCCGCGTGGCGTGCCGCAAGCTCCAGCGGCTTCTCGTCATTGATCCAGCCGGTGTCCACGGAGTTCATGTAGATCGAGCTCTCGGCATAATCCTGGGAGCTGGTGCGGGTCATCATGTTCAGCGCGGCCTTGGCCATGTTGGTGTGCGGGTGGTTGGGGCTCTTGAAGCGGTAGAACTTGCCTGCTCGCGCGGTTGCGCCAGGTAATCCCCCCCCCCCCCGGCGGACGCGGGAGAGGAATCGGAGTGGAGGCAGGGGAGAGGAGGGGCGCGGCGGAATGTCAGACACGCAGAAGAAGGACCCGGAAAGGGAAGAACCCACTGGGAAGCCGACAGCGCGGGCGAGGGCCGGCCGAGGGACCATGGCGACAACTACGCACCCTCCATGGCGCTGACGTTGACGATGTACCGCGCCGCACGGGGCGAGCGCTCCAACAACGGCCGCAGGCGGCCATTCAGCACAAACGGCGCCACCGAGTTCACCGTGAACACCTCGATCAGCTCCGGGGTTGACACCTCGGCCAGCTTCATCATCCAGCTGTTGGTCTTGCGCAGGTCCACCTGCTGAGCATTGATGTCCAGCGCGCCGGCCGGGAAGACGCAGTCCCGACGCTCGTCGTCCTCCGGCAGCAGGGGCAGCTGCGACAGGTGCGCCGACGAGTACCGGGTCGAGGTGGCGGCAGACAGGACCACGCTGCTTGCCGCGGCGGTGGCATCGCCCGGCGCGTCGGCCAGCGCCTCGGAGAAGCTCCCAGCCATGGCCATCATATTGCCGGCCAGCGACATGATGTTGACATCGCCGTTGGCCAGATCCAGCGCCGGGCCCGGGGCCGGGGGCCCGCCGGTCGACGATCCGTCGGCCTCCAGCTCTTCGACCACGGCCGACGCAGGGTCGGCGGCCGGGAGGGATTTGGCCGGCCCGCGATTGGCATGCGCCGACCACCGAATGGCCTCCTTGGCCGGGTCGTCCAGCATGCCCAGCAGCTGCGTCTCGCGCTCCATCAAGTGGTGATAGTAGTATGCCGGCCGGCGGATGGTCTGGCAGGCATTGTTGATGATGATGTCCAAGTGCGGCAGGGTGCCGTTGAGGAAGGTGCACAGCTGCTCGATGGCCACCACATCGCGCAAATCGATGCCGATCACATGCAGGCGGTCCTTCCACTTGGCATAGTCCGGCTGGGGGGCGGGGGGGGGGGGGGGGTTGTCAGAGGACGGGGCCTAGGTGAGACCGGGCGAAAGGGAGGTCACGGGAGGCGCCGGATGCCCATGCGCAGGGGCGCGCACCTCGCGTGCATAGCGGGACAGCGAGTCGGCCGGGAAACGCGTGGTCGCATAGACCGTGGCGCCGCAGCGCAGAAGCTTGAGCGCGGTCTGCGAGGCCCGACAGCAGCGGTGGAGCCCGGGAAGGAAGGGAACGGAGGATGCCGGCATGGAGACCGGCGAGGCAGCCACATGAAGAGGGTCAGAGAGGGAGGCAAGCAAGAAAGGCACGAGCAGCAAGGGCGGCACGCATGCGCCGGGGAGGGCATCGCCGGAATGCGAGGGAGGAGGGGGCCGGCAGGCGCACCTGGTAGCCGATCTTGACACGCGACCCGGTCACCAGGGCAATGTAATCCGTCAGGTCGGCGCTCTGGTGGCGCTTCTCGTAGTTGAGCTTGGCACACGAGGGACACAGGGCGTGGTAGAAGTGGTGGAGATGGCGGAAGCGCGCCCGGCAAATGTAGCAGCCGATGGGCCGGTTGAGCGAAGGGTTGGCGCCGTCCGGCTCGCCGGCCTCCTCGGCGTCGGCGACCTGGGGCTCGGCCCGGCCACCGGCGATGCTCGGAGCCGGCGGGGTGACCATGTCCCGCAGGACCGAGGCCGGCTGCGGCCCCTGCGGCGTGAAGCGCGGGTTGCTCATGGAGGCCGGCTCGGGCCGGGCATCGCCGGCGGCGGCAGACCCGGTGTCAGCAGTGGCCTCGCCATCGGACATGGGCTCGGCATCCGAAGCCACGTCAGCCACCTTGGCAGTGTCCACCTTCGGGGCGTCCAGAAGCCGGTGATCACCGATCAGCATGTTCTCTGGATAGGCGAGGGCAGGGGGCATTCCGTGAGGAAAGCCGCGGAAGTCGAGTCATGGTCAGCTCGATGTGAAGAGAGACACGAAGAGGGAGGGAGGGAGAGAGGGAGGGAGGGAGAGAGGGAGGGAGGGAGAGAGGGAGGGAGGGAGAGAAAGAGAGGAGGGGGAGTGGCATGGCTCTCCGGATAGCGGGGAACAGCTCCTCGCACACGCACCACCCACGCCATCGGGGAACAGAGGGACGGCCTCGGCCCCGGGAAGGGCATTTTGGATGTTCGCATGGATGGTGGCCATGTTGTTCATGCGCGTGGACCAGAGCTTGCGCGACTCGATGGAGTGACGGTCGGCGGCTGTGGCAAATTATCAGGGTTAGCCATCAAACGCCGACGGGGCGCGGAATGAGGGAGGCCAAGCCGCCAGCGAGACCACTGTGATGGGATGACGCACCGGCGAAGCGCTGCCGACGGGCGAGCTTGTCGCGCTTCTCCACATACCACTCGCGGCGGCGCTTCGAGTCGATGCGCCCGTCGGAGGACTCGACGATGCTCTGGACGAAGGGCATCAGCGCCACGCGGAACTTCCGGAAGGGCTTCCCCTTCCATACCTCCTCGCCAAGAGCGTCAATCCGGCTCAACAGGGCCGTCGCCTGCTCGATCTCCTCCGCAGACATGGCCTCGGTGGCCTCGGTGGCGGCGGAGGCGGCGGCGGCGGCCGCGGCCGATGGGTCGGCGGCAGCGGCCGGGGCGCCGGGCTCGAGGTTGGCGCTGGAGTCGGACTCGGCCGCAGGGGCAGACTTGGGCTCGGTGTCCGACATGACCGGTGGCGACACACAGCCGGCGGCGGTGGTCACATCATTGCCAGCACTGTCACTGGACATGATTGCGGCTGGAGATGGGGCGAGAATGAGGGGGCGGGCGCGAGAAGTGGGCAAGCGAGGAGGCCAGGATGGATGTGAAACGGCGACAGGGACGAGAGGAGTGGAGTGGGTGGCTTCCCCTGGGACATGGTTATGGCACTAGGGGGTCTCATGGGGGGGGGGGGGGGGCCTGCGAACCTGCAGCTCATCCCCAGGGGCAGGGGGACCGGCGATGCAGGGCAGATCGCCCAGGTGGATGGCCTGCCAGGGCAAACGTCCGGGTCCCCACATACACACGCACTTTACAGACACACACACAGGCACACACACACACACACACACACACACACACACACACGGGGGGCGAATCGTGTGGGGGTTGTGGCGCACGCGCGCGCGCGCGCGCGCGATACATGGGCAACCCGCAGGGGGTGCGCCGCGCCCAGCCCTCCCACGCGTCCGCCCATCGTTCTGGACCCCTTCAGAATGAATGATCGGCAGCCAGCGGCGACGGCGCGAGGGCGAAAGAAAGCTCCCCCGCCCGACGGCGATGGACAAAAAAAAAGAGGGACAGCCGAAAAGAAGGGGGGAAGATCTTCGGGGGACTCGACAGTGTATATTGCGGGGCGCGCGTGGCCGGAGAAGGGGGGGAAAGGGCGCGCTTCGGGAGTGGGGGGCACACAGCATCCCGGGAGGAGACCACACGCCAACAAAAGGTAGTGGTCTCCAGGGGAGGGGGGGGCAACGGCCCTCGGCACTCCCGAAGCACACGCATGAGCGACGCGGCAGGGGAGGGAGAGCATAAACACCGGAGGGGGGGGGGGGGGGGAACGGGCGCGTACCGTCCCCCTCGCGCACATCAACAGACAAAGGCATGCCTCCTTCGTCCATCCGCTCTCGCCCTCCCCGCGTGAGGACACATGACGCCGACCCTCGTCGAGAGGGGGGGGGGGCGACATACAACCACACGCGAGAAGCAACAAGCACAGCACGCTGCCAACCGCCAGGCCGAGAACAACATACGCATCGCGCGCGCACGCCTCAGGCCCTCCTGGGTCCACATGAGTGCTCTGCACTGCATGGCAGCGCCTTTTGCCGGCCTCTGGGCCTCCCCCCTCTCTTTGTCCCTCTGGCCCCGCCACAACAACACTCCCCCTCACACTCCACCCCGATAATCCCGACAGCACGCGAGCTGGGCGCGTACGTGTGGTGAAAGACACCCGCGCAGGGAAATAGGGGGAAGAGGGAGAGGAAGGAAGGAAGGGCGAGGAGGGGGCAAAAGGGGGGGGGGCCGAGGAGGAAAAAGACGAGCCACAAGCAAGCGCAGACACACGAGAGAAAGAGGAAAGCGCGAGGAGCAGTTGCCTCGAACGGGGGGGGGGGGCTGGATGATGCCAGGGTGTGATAGTTGGAATGGGGGAGAGAGACAGAGAGGAAAAGAGAGGGAGAGAGGATGCCTTTTTCCTGCACGCGTGCTCCCGTGCGCCATGCACAAAAGGAAGGCGCACAGAGGGAGAGACGGGGAGGATGCGATGCACGCAGGGGGAGGGAGGACCGCCAGCACATGCCAGAAGAGGCGGGAGAGGGGGGGGGGAACAGGGGAGGGAGGCACGCGCGCGCACAAGCTGAGGGCCGACCGGCGGCTTGCAGTAGCTGGGGCTGACACACACACACACATCACCGCCACCAGCGGAGGAAGGGAGAGGGAAAGGGGGAGGGAGGGGGAGGGGGAGGGGGAGAGGGAGGAGGGGAAGGGACAGAGAGAGAGAGAGAGAGCGCAAGACAGGGCAGAGGGGAGGAAAGTCCCGCAGAAGCGGGGAGTCTTTCCCCCACCCCCCAGTGATGGGCCCCCCTCTACGGTCTCTGCTCCTCGCGCGCCGCCGCTCAACCCCGCCCCGGCCCGGCCCTCTGTCGGGGGCCCTTTCTCTCCGCGCCGCCGCTCGCGGAACTGCGATTGCCATGCACAGCGGCGGCACGCTTAGACCTTCTTGCCGAAGTTGCCGATGGTCATCTTGCCGGTGTAGACAAGAACACCAACGGCGACGATGGCACCGACGACGACAATGGCACCGATGGAAATACCGATGGCCATGCCGAGGGTGGCACCAGCCGGGGTGGCGTTGATGACACCCTTCTGGGCGCGGTTGGAGAAGTCATTGTTCCGGGTGGAGATGTACTTGTAGGAGCAAGCCTTCTGGACCTTGGCCACGTGGGAGAAGTAGGCGGTGGGCATCTTGGTCTCCGGGTCGCGGACACCGTTCAGGAACTGGCAGGCGCGGATGTTGTTGTTGTCATTCGAGCCCTGGAGCATGGCCTCCACGGAGAGGCACTCGGTCTGATCGAGCCAAGCCAGGCGGCGCTCGTCCTCCTCGGTGAACATGCGGCAGCGCTCCTCCTCGGCCTGGTTCTGGAAGATGTTGGAGGCGTAGTTGTGGATGGGGACGACATTGGCACGACCGGTACCGGCAAGACCATTACCGGCGTTGTTCGGGTCGTCATACTCGGTGAGGCACCACTGGAAGTGGATGTAATCGCCGACATTCACATGCTTGTGATCCGGGGTGAAGTTGTACTCGACGCAGTTGCGGACCTGGGCAATGTTGCCGCGCTTGCCGCGAACATTGATGTTGTGGATGCGGGCGCCCTTCAGGTTGGAGGGGCGCTTGGCCACCACAAAGACATACGACCGGTCCTCGAAGGTGCGGCCAAACTGCGCGGTGTTGATGGCCAGACGCAGGGGCATGGCCTCGGTGGGGGTGGAGCTGCCCGGGGTGCCGAACACGTACACCGGGTTGTTCTTGATCTGGTCGTTGTTGGTGTAGTCGAAGTCGTGCGGGACCTCGGCATTGGTGATGTTGTAACGAATGCGCAGAACACAGCGGCGCTCATCCATGCCCTTGGGCACGAAGTTCCGGGGAATGTGCCACTTGTAGTGGGAGAAGGTGTGGGAAAGCTCCTCGGCACTGCGGCTGGTGGCCAGGGTGTTGCCGAGGCGGTTGTCCGGCTGCCAGGGGGCCTGGATGCAATCCGGGGCCGGGATGTTCCACTTGCAGTCGCACTTCCACTTGTGGTCGTTGGTGGTGCAATCGACGGCGGTGTTGTAGCGCTGGGCCTCGCAAATCTGCTCCAGGGTGGCATCGTCGCCGGCCTTGGGAACGCACTCGCACTTGTCCTTGACATTCTGGGACTCGCTGCGGTAGAAGTCGCACCGGCTGGTGTCGGACACGACGTAGGCCACATCCATCCAGGGGGTGCAGTGCCAGTAGGGAGCGTAGTTGGCCTCCTCGGCGCACTGGAAGCCATAGCGAGCACCACCGGGGTTCTCGCGAGTGCGAGTGGCGCCCAGCACATTGGACGAACCACGGTCGGCCACGAAGAGGCCGAGGTTGCGGTCGCGGCAAATGCACTTGGCATAGACCATCTCCGGCTCGTGAACACCGAAGGTCTTCTGCTTGCGGGTGGAGCAGCGGCAGGTGTTGCTGTTGAAGGTGCCCATGGAGTTGGACAGGTCCAGGTTGTTGCACTCCTCGCTGTTGGAGAAGCCGTTGGGGCAGTGGTTGCCCTGGTCGATGTTCTGGCCGCGCGACCGGTAGGCCACCTCGGTCAGCCCGGTGGTCGGGTGGGTCTGGGTGCAGGAGTTGCCGAAGATCTTGTAGGCATTGTCCATGTTGCCGTCCGGGCATTCGCTCGGCCGGTCGGCGCAGCCACGGCCCAGGGAGATGCCGTCGGTCAGCCGGTAGGAGTCGGCCTGCGGGCCGGCATACTTGCGGAAGGTGTCCTCGCAGCCGATCTGGATGGTCTGCTGGCAGCCGACCGACTCGGGGACCGAGTTGTCGGCCTTGTTGCTGGCGCCGTTGCCGCAACCGTGCTGCGTGGTCCACTCGATGTTGATCTCGGTGTCCTCGTAGAAGCGGTACTCGCGGTCGCAGACCTGGTAGCCACCGGCGGCGTTGTTCTGCGAGTCGAACAGGCGGTTGGCATTGTTGCGGTTGTTGCTGCGCTCATCGCACCGGTTGTTGGAGCCGGGCGGGAACATCATGTAGGTGTCGGCCAGGACGGTGCCCAGGAGGGCCGCCACCAGGAGGGCGACCAGCGCGAGGCGACTCGGGCGGGCCATGGTGCTCCGGTGTTTGGGGGAGGGGGGGAGAGGGGGGGGGACTGCGGGTTGGGGTGGGGGGAAAAGGGAAGAG